CTCCATTGGGCAGAAGTGGTCAGTTTTTACTGCCAAAAAAAAAAAAAGAGACAGAAATGGACACAGGCTGATAGCTGAGACTGCTTTTGTCCACTCTTCAGAATCACTGCCACTTAGGTCAGGGACCACAGCCACGTCACTCTTGGCCCATCTCTGTGGGTACGTGCCTCGAACACACCTGTAAAAAGTGCCACGTGCAATTCTCTCGTCTTCTATGATCCAGGCCTTGCCTAGAGATCACCACTTGCTAGCAGGCTGGCTGGGGCAGTGAGGAAAAGCTCCTTTGGCTCCGATAGGGCCATAAGTGGCTATTAATAGATTTTCAAATGCCTGAAGAGAGAGCTTGAGACATGCTGGTCCCAGACAACAAACTATAGACCCAGACTGCAGTATTATTAGAGGGTCAGTTGGGAAGGATACGATTGCCCCAAAATGGAGTTCGTCAACCTTAGCTTTGCTTTAGAATTTATAGAAATAAAAGTGCAATGCTTTTCTCATAGCCACAGTTGGATCTCTTGTAGACCAGAAAGTCCAAATGAAAGGAAATAAATGCAGCTTTACATTAGCCCTCCTTGGTGCATCAGGGTGTCAGTGGAAATAGGATGGGGTTGTGTGTGTGTGTGTGTGCATGTGTGTGTATACACACATGTGAGGGAAGGATGTGTACGTGTATGTGGGATTGTGACCAGAAAGAAGAGAATGGGGATCTCCAGAGTGTTTGAATCGACAACGGATTTGTGTTCTTTTCCTAACATGCATTTAGTTGGAAAGGCACGGTTCTGTTTGCTTTGTTCTATGTTGTAATTGGCCATTGGAAGTAGGCCCAGCTACACAGGAAAGGAAGAACCAGGAAAGCGAGGTCCATGACAGCAAAGGAGCAGCTGTCAGGAATCCAGTTTGCCTGAGACCTCGCAGCTTGCGGAATGCAACCCGAGCTTCCTCGAGTCTTAGACCTCTTGGAGGATTAGGAATTTGAATGTCCAGAGGAGGGAAAGGTCTGTTTTCTCGAGGCCAGTGGGTGTTAAGGATGATGCTAGAGGCTGACGGATTAGGTGTGTAGGATGCGGATGGAGAAGGCTTGTGTGGGATGTGGCTGGGGGGTGAGTGGGGAAAGTGGTTTCTAAAATGGTCTTGAAAAAGCTTGAGCAGGGAAGGAAGAAAGGAAATGGAGAGATGAAAGAATTAGAGAAAGTAGTTATCTGTGTCACTGACTTTGGGGCCCATTGAAGACTCGTGCCCTTTGGGTGTTCCATGGTGGTTTCCACCTGCCTCGGCCCCGACCTTTCCCCAGTTCAGGCCCTTTCTGGAGCGCTGGTTTGTGTGCTGGCATCCTCCCCACTGTGACCCAAACCAGAGCACGCTTGGTGTGTGGAGATGGGAGACAAAGGACAGATCTAGGAGCCTTGAAGGGTTACCAGCCACCGACCCTCCATGAGCACCGACTGGGCAGGAAGGGGAACGTTGCAGGCCTGATTTCCCAGCGATGGCACCCTGTCCTCCTCCCTCCTTGCTTCTTGCTCTGCTAACTCAACTCCACCTGCCTCTTTTTCATCCTTCTACTCTGCCCTACGTGGAGGACAAGTGGACACCCGGGGCCCCACCTTAGTGGTGCCTGTCCCAACCTGCCCCACCTTGCCCCGGGTGCCAGCAGACTCTCGGGCACGGGAGGCTCTCACAGTTACGGAGCCAGGGAACAGCTTCTCTACACAGGATGGACTGTTTATTGGGACTGAAGATTATATTCCTTATATTCCTGCTTATATCAATGCTATCTGTGAAACCTCTGCCTAGCCTCATTTCTCTCCACTGACCTTGTTTAGGAGTTGTATTCCTTTAATTTCCTCTTTGCTTGACTGCTTCCTCCTTCCCCCACCCCCAGCCTTCTACTTCCTGAAACTGTTATGTCATTAACTCTGTTGGGTCCAATCTCTGGGAACAGATTCTGTTAATGTAAGTGCACTTACTCTCTGGATGTTGTCACTAGTCTAGTGGCTTTTGCTAAATAAACCTTTCTTATTTCTACAAGCTTTCTCATGTCTTTTCTTGCTTCCTCTATTCCACCTGCTCCTTCTCTCCCCCTCACTTCCTCCCTTCTTCCCAAGCCAGCAGCATCTATTCTGTGACGTGGTTCCGTAGGGTGTGGGGTTTGGACAGAATTCACATGTTCTCTGAAGGAAGGTGGTGGCTGCTTCATGTGTAGTTTGCATAGACCACCTTGCAGGATCAGATGATTTCAGTGGTTCTTAACGGGGGATGCTTTTACTGCCCGAGGGGACATTTGACAATGTCTGGAGACATTTTTGGTTGCCAAAATACTACTGGCATAGTGGTTAGAAACCAGGGATACTGCTAAATAATAGCCTACGGTACACAGGACACCTACCTACAACAGAGAATTATGCACCCCCAAATGTCAGGAGTGCTGTTGTTGGGAAACTCAGGTTCTATACCCATGTTGCAGACTCTCCAGACCCCAGATTTCTTCAATCTCCAAATCATTAGACTGTGTGGGCAGTAGCGAGTTTTGAGTGCTTGAAAAAGTACTACATCACAGATGTTTTCCAGTATAACTAGGATGATCAAGATTACACAATTTCACTGACTCCCCAACTAAATGTCTGAAATACGTAGTTGGTAGGGGTGTGAATGGGCCCGTTCCAGAAATGTCCATACTGGGGGGCAAGGCAGGCTCCTCCCCATCCCTACCTGGTGGGATTATGGTGTCATTGCAACACAGCGCAGCAGAAGAGCCCGACTCACAGGAGTGTGGGCTCCCCTGCAAGGAGCAGAGAGGCAAGGGAGGAGGAAGCTGACAAAGGAGGGAGGATTAGCGAAATGAGCTGCAGGATCTTACAGAACAGACTGCGCAGAAGCCAGATCCCTGTGGCTGGAACTTTTAGCCATTTCTAGGGAAGAGGAGTTGTCAGGCCTGAAGTTTTGTCAGGTCCAGGTCAGAAGGAAAGTTGGAAGGGTCTGTATGCCAGGTTCACGTGCCCTCTGTTCTTTTCTGGCTGAGTGAACTGAACTGAGTTTTATATTCTCTCCTGTAAAATGGGGACAGTGCATGCCACATAAAGCTATTAGGAGAGTGAATGAGATTGCATTTTAAAAGCACCCAGCAGAGAGTGCCTGGCCATTGACTCCGGGTACAGCTCAGTTTACCGTTTAGTTAGCTTCCTCCCAGCTGTACTTGTGCTGGTCAGTATAGTTGTTTGCTGGGAGCTTTTTCCTGCTGTGCTGAAACTCTGCTCTGTACTGAGAAGATCCGTGGTGTTATAATAATGCTGCATTAAATGGGACATGTGGAAGCACCTTGTCTTTAGGGAGAGGACACTGCTGATGAATGCCTGCCTGGCAGCGTGGGCACATGCTGTGGTGCCGGGCTTGGTCCTGGCCTCATTGCTTCCCCTTTTTTGATGTGCTCTGTGCCTGGGATACAGATGCCCTGGAGGAGGGGACATGGGGTTGATGGAGGGTGGGAGACCAGACCAGGAGCCAGTTCCTTTCCTGATTGTCCCAGATGGTAGTGAGACCATGGGTGGTCCCTTGCTCCCCACCCACTCCGTATATTCCCTCCTTTCTGGCTCAGGAGCCCCATCAGGGGGCATATGTGCATAGCCACGTGTGTAAGGAGGAGCCTTCAGGGCTCAGGTGGCTTCTCCAGAGAAGCAGTAGCTCAGAGTGAGGACTAAGAAGCCTTGCCCAGAGTCACTCATCTGTTCCCTCAGGGCACCAGGTCCTGGGAACGATGCCGAGACACTGCCTCACCTGGAGTGGACAGGTCACGACCTCCAAGTCCTGGCTCCTGGTCCAGCTGGAGCCTGTCAGTCAAGTGGCCTCTGGGAGTCTGGCTGAGTAGTGGGACGTGGGCTGGCGTGGCCTTGACATGTGATGCAATGGGGATTTGAGCCCATCCTCCCTCTCTGCTGAGATTTTAGCAGCACAATGATAAGCAGAGCAGCCTTGCTAAACCAGACAGCGAGGCTCTGGGAAGAGTTACTAAGACCCTCCACCACACCTACTGGCCAAGCCGTGAGGGCGGCAAAGACTAAGGGAGGGCGGGTGCCAGGGTCCCTGAAAGGCAAGGTCCACTGCAGTGGAAGGGCCACTGAGTTGTCAGGGAGATGAGCAAGAGGGTAAATAAGGCCTAACAGTATGACCAGCAAGTGTTCAGTTCTCCTTTTTTTTTAAAAAAAAAAAACACATAATGGGAAAAATAGATGTTCTTGCTGCATCCCTGATGTTCACCTAAGTCAGAAAGTAAAATTCTCTCAGAAATGAGTAAGGGTCAGGGCTGTCTGCTGGGCACCTTACTTGGTAACAGGAAGCTGTGGTTTCATATGTTTACCTGCCTGTTCTGACATGACTCAAAGCAGCTATGTAACGATGTCCCTTGGGTCAAAAGTGGTTCTGTTCTGCTCCAGCCACAGATGCCGGTTCTAAGTGTAGGATGGTGGTGCATGCGGTGGGGATGGGCTTGGCCTTATTTGCCTTTTCCCTGCCTTATGCTTAGGGGCGTAACGTCCCTGAAGATCTGACATCTAAGAACTGCAGAGATTTCTTCTCCGTGCAAACAGGACAGGGCATCCGATCTCTTCTCCCCAGGATGGACCACGGATCACATAGGAACCAACCAGAAGGCCAGGACCCTTTAGCAGTGGTTCTCACATTTGAGCTGTATCAGAATCACCTGGAGGGTGGTTAGAACACAGATTGCCAAGCCCACCCCCATAGTTTCTGATTCATTAGGTCTGAGCAGGGCCTGAGAATTTCATTTCTAACAAATTCCCAGGGGATGCTGATACTGCTGGTCCTGGCAGCTCACTTTGAGGACTGCTGTCTTCAATTATATTCCCAAACTTCAGGTATTGTCTTTATTTTAAAGAGGAGGAGACTGGGAGTTGGGCCTGGTGTTGTTAAGCAACATGCAGCCGGAGGGGGTGGGGGCCAGGTACCAGCAAGGACAACAGGTGATGCAGGGTGACCTCAGACCGGACAGGAGGCTGTGACTAACTTCGATTTATTGGCATCTCTCTAGAGACATACGTAGGTTTCGCCCCTGTTTACCTGAGGTGTGAGCAGGACTACTTGCAGGCCTGGCAGCTGCCTGAGGAGAGCCTGTCCCCGGGCCAGGCCTTCTGCTCCCGGGCCCAGAGGGTTTTGAGCTTGCGGTAGTACACCTTGCAGCTGAAGCCCTCCTTGAAGCCCCCCTCGATGTGGCTCTTGAGGGAGTGCAGGGTGGGGTACATGCGGCAGCAGGCCGCGCACTTGTAGCCGGTCTGCTGTGCCAGGTGCCACTTGGAGGCCGCTATGATGTCCTGGGATGTGATGTAGTCTGTGGAGTCCAGGCTGTGCCGGGATTTCTTGGTGGCTTCTCGGGGGCAAGTGTTCTCTGGGGAGGAAGAGGACGAGCAGATGCTCTCAGCCATGTCCTCGGGAAGGCAGTTGTCCCCCCTGCCCTCGTCCCGCTGCACCTCTGGGAAGCTGTAGGCCTCCAGGTGGCGCTCTCTGTCTGCGCACACGAAGTAGCTGTAGGGGGAGAACCAGGGCCTGTAGATGGTGCAGTTCCGCCGCAGCTGCTCCCCGCTCTGGGCGTCCCCCAAGGTGCAGTCTGCAAAGGAAAGCGCTGGGTCTGAGCCTCTGGCCGTGCCAGAGATCAGTGGGCTTGCGCTGGCTGGAGGCGGTGGGCAGACACAGAAGGGCAAGAAGGCAAGCACCGGGCACGGCCTTGGTTCCCTCCACCCCACCGTGACTGTGGTTCTGGGAGCCGTGGAAGATGGGCTGGGGCGAGCCGCGAGGGCATTCATTCCTGCTGCTTTCGTTTTCTGTTGGTGCAAATGGCCATCGGATCTCTGGGCAGGAGAGGCCGCTTTCTGTCACTAAGCCTTGATATTTGTCAGGTCCTTCCCTCCCTGGAGACACCCTGTCCTCTGAGGATAGACACGGACAGGTGGCCCAGTGGACAGCCAGACCACTGGCCGCCTCCAGTCCCTCTTTCACCAGTGAGGCTATGACCATTATTTCAGCCTCGCTACACATCTTGATCCCTTCATAGCCCCCTCAGACAGAAACTGCTCTAGTAACCAGCTTGAGAACAGGACAGGAGAGGAGCGGCAAGAGCCCACGCAGGCCTGCGGGTCTCTACTGAAGGAAGAAGGCCCAGGTAGGAGGTGCAGGTGAAACGGCAGCATGTGCTGATCCAGCTCGCGGACACCCTTCCCCTAGGGGAGCAGCCCCTGTCCATCAGCCTCTCACATGTCCCCGCCCAGAGTTGGAAAAGGCCTCACCTGGTGCGAGCGCTGTGTTGTGCACCCTGTGCCGGAGAGCGCTGCTTTGGTACTGGGGTGGCAGGGCCTGAGCTGGGCTGGATGCCTCAGTGGGTAGCGCTGTCTTTGCAATGTCTGGGTTACAGAAGAAACACTCTGGTAAGCTGAGCAAGGTTGGGAGTCCTCTGCTTGGGACTCCCCATGACATACCTAGAAGCTCAACCTCTGCACTTCAAGGCATCTCAAAGCTGAAGCAAAACAGTGACCTCTTGAACCCCGCTAGGCAGACACCCTAGGGAATTCCAAATGGGGTGGTGTCCTTTAGGCTTATGCAAGATCCCCTGGAAAGGGGGATTTAAGACACAGTCCAGATGACACCTCTCTGCCTGGCCTGCCCCTCGTCTGGCCCTCCTGCATCTTGTCACATCTATGACTTCACTCTGCATTGCAGGCCTCTGGGTGCTCTGGGACCCAGGTCGCAGGGAGGGAGCTCTGGTCACGGGGTGCACAGCAATGCCACATGGCCCCCTCGAGGATGAGAAGCCTGATCCTCTAGTTGAAAACATCTCCCACCCACCGTCAGAGAGGGTTCAAATGGGCCCTTGCTGCATGGCACTGTTAGCAGCTGGAGTAGCTGCTCACACCGGGATAAAAAGTTGACCTGCCTCAAATCCCAGAGTAGTAGCTGTGCTCCGTTTGGGGCACAGATTTATAAATGTCATGTGTATAGGTGAGTGGGTGTTTAGGAGAATTACTCCCGAGAACAGCACTTCTGAAATTTTAATGTGTGTATGAGTCCCCCGGGGATCTCGTTAGAAATACAGATTCTGATTCAGTGGGTCTAGAGTGGGGGCCTGAGAGTCTACATTTTTAACAAGCTGGCTGGTGGCGCAGGTCTGAGGATGGTGCTTAGAATAGCAAGTCCTCAGAGTGTCCACCTTTATTCCGTGATGTGCTCGTCAGTTACCCTCATGCTGAGACTCCTCCTGATGGTTTGCTAAGTCTAACTCTTCTCCAGCTTGTCAAAACAGAGCTAAAACTAATACCTTCTCTTTATGTAGACAGACCACCACCTTGAGATTTCACGCAGACTCTAGGGAGAAAAAACTTGACAGCACATGTTCCCCCCATTCTTCCTTTGCCAGAACTAACAGCAGGAATTATTTACCACGAATGCAGCATTTTGAAAATTTATTTTCTCCCCATGTTTAATTTGACTTTCTCCCTAAATTGTGGTCCTGTAACCTGATCTGGTAGAATACTCAATTAAAATATTTTTTTTTTTAAAAACTGTATCTTTGTGGCCCTAGTGGCACCAGAGTTTACCTGGCAAGCTGGTGGCACGTGAGGACAGAATGTCAGGAAAAGTGCTCAGGGCAGAGGAGGAGATTCGAGGTCCAGAGATGCTGAGGAGTGAGAAGTTCTCCATCTTCTGACCACTGCAGGACATGGAGATCGCACACCTGCCCCCAGGAGGCCGGCTGGGTTGTCCAGACGATATAAACATTCTGAGCGCAGTTGACATCACAAGGTCACATGATTCCACTCCCCAGCTAGGTTACCCCTCGGAAAGACTGATGGAGTCTGTCGCAAGCAAGATTAAAAATTTGAAAGATTTTTTTTTTGCCCTGTCACTCCTCCGTGGCCTGCCCTGACTGAGAGTACCCAGAGAGAAGGAACTGTATAGCAGAGAGATGATAGTGACGCTGTCTGTTTGTCCTCTTTTTGTTTTTCTGTGTTGACACTGCTGTACCTTTCCCCCCAGTTCTGGAAACCTCTGTCCTTTCTGACCACCTTCCTTCTTTACCTGCCTGACCTCTGCCATAGAATATTTTTGTCATTTTAGTTTCTGTTTTGGGGGTTTTACATTTTCTTTGGAAATAACTTCAAATGTATGAAAGTTACAGAGATCAAATCAATACAAAGAACATCCATATACCTGTATCCAGGTTTTTCTATTAATCTTTTACCCCATTGCTTCATCAATTCCTTCTCTCTGTCCCTCCCTTCCCCCCACCCCGTATAGGTGTGTGTATATTTAATTTTTCTTTGAACTATTTGAAGGTAAGTTAAAAATATTATATCCTTTTACAGCAAAATACTTCAGTATGCATTTCCTGAGAATGGGGACCAGATATTCTTTTGAGTGGTTGGTGCTTTTTCCAGCGAGTGGCTGAAATACACAGGCGTGGCTCACTCGATACCATTCTGCTCATTGTGAATCCGTGTGCTGGGGGGACTCTGGCCTCCTGAGAGGCAACGTTGCCCCTTCTCTCTGCTCTGCTTCTGTTGCGTAAGAGCCTCGCGCACTAGTGGGATGTGGAATAAGGGTGACACTTTGAAGATAAGCTGAAGGTTCCCCTTTTTAGATCATCACCACGTGTCAACTAGAAACAGAGCTTTAGATCTAAACAGTGGATGCATTTATGCTACGTGGGGAGATGTGGCCCACTCCAGAAATAACGATGAGATCCTTTTGCTGGAGCACGTAGGAGCAGGGTGCGAGTCTCGTCTGCATGTGGAGCCTGGAGTTGTCTTCGCTGCCTGTCTTTACTCACGATACTTAAACCCTGGAAGGGCAGGGGGAAAATGTGATTTCTGTTGTTCCTCCCTCATGGCCTGGTTCGGAATGTTAGAATGTGTTGGGATATAAATTGAAGCCACGTATTTAGGTAACTTTGAAGGTGTTGGCAGTTTCAGTTGGGCCATGATGGTGTAGAGACAGATCGTGGGGTCTAGGGTTCAGCATCCACGACTTCTGACCCCCTGCCCCACCGGCTACCTGTGTGATGTTGGGAAAACCTCTTTGCCGCCATGTTGTTAATTGAGACTCTAAGTTGGAGTGGATGAACATCTTCCTGGCTAAAATCTAGCGATTTACATATGGAAAGCAGCATCCACGTGAGTGCTGCACACGGGACAGAGGGCTTGGAATTTCATTCTGTGTTGGCCCATCACATGTCTCCCACTGCCAGCGGGGAACTTCAGATACGCTTAACGTGAAGAGGGTGCAAAATATTAGGGGGAAGTATGGGAGGCTGAATCTCTCAGCGCCTGTTTGTAGAGTTTTTAAAATATGACCCTGTTTTGGTTTAGTTAATAAAAAGTGTATGGGAACCTGGTCATTCCAGGGTTTGTAATTATCCTAGTTGCAGGGCCTCTGTCTTGCATGCTGTATCCTCCCTGGATATGTTGTTGCTGGTGGCCCAGGCAGGAGGTGACAGTCTCAAAGTGATTGGTCACTGCGTAAAATATGTCTTTCTCTTGTTTGTTTCCCACCTGCTTTCTGAGCCCCTTTCTCGGACAGGTAAGATATCTTCTTTCTTGTGGATGACTTACGTCCCCAGGTGTCTTCCTCTGCTTGGGGTTGTGCATGTTGTGGGGTGCTGTTGGGAGGGCCACCCAGCTGGGGTCCAGTCATCTTTCTCTCCTCCATCGCCATTATTTTCTGAACCACCAAGCCTCTAGTCCTGAGGCAGAAAGGACAGAGTGTGGAGGTCATTAGAGCCACTGGCAGGAAAGGGACTCATTGCGTATCCTTCAGATGCAGGGATGAAGACAGCCCCAGGCAGAGTCCCACTTTGATGAGAAGGGCAGTTTCTCCTGGCATGACCTCAAAAAGCCCTGCAAAACACTCCTGTAGAGGGATTTTTTGAGTGGTTTTTGTAAATGGGAAAAGATTTATGAGCAGTTTCTCTACAATGTCAGCCTCATCATGTAGTCAATTTTTAAGAATTCATATAAAATCCAAATTCAATTAAGCTAACTTATTAAACGCCTACTGTTGTGTAAGACCCAAAGCTAGGCATTGCTGAAGATAAAAAGCACTTTAGATGCTATGACTCCCTCAAGGAGCTTACTGTTTTGTTGTAGAGACAGAAAGATTTAGACAATTGCAGAGAGAGTGTATGATAGACTAGATTACTTAAGAATTCAGTGTATTTTATAGACTATGACATTATGAAGGGGAGAGGGGAAGAGGTACAGGAAATCCAACATGCTGCATAATCCAAAGTTATTATAAAGAGTGTGTTTTTAAAGTAATGATAGGGGCTCATAATTTACAGATCACCTTGACGGGTGTTTTTGGTGCTTACGCTTTTAAAAATGAGTGTGTCTGCTCTGAAGATTCACTTTAGACCAATAAGGAAACCACCACGGGAGGTGCTGGGGGATTTGCCTTCCCCAGGTAGTTTACATGGTTTCATAGTGGCCCATGTACTTTCTGATTTAGGGGAAGACAGTTAAATGGTTTAGTTTCCAAATCTTTTTTGCTAGTTTGCTGATTACTTGATTAAAGAAAAGAAGAAGGATGTGGGACACAGTAGGCAAATCGTGCCAAAGTGGACAACATGGCAAGATACACTCTTAGGACAATCGTCGGGTTGACGACCGTGCTTGCTGCAGGGCAGCTGGGAGCCCTTGCTAGTGTGGTGGGCCAGCCAGCTTGGGCCCTGTATCCCAGGGATGCTGTGCCATGTCCCCTGGCATGTCCCCCGGCTCACAGTGGTGCTTTCATCTGCATGTGGATTAGGGGCAGTTACAGAGGTGAAGACTGTGGGCCTCCTCCACAGAGAGTGATCTCCACTTTTCCCATGACCTCACCCTGCCACTCAAAGGCCCACTGAATGTGGCTTACCTGTGTGGATTTCCTGTGGTTTTTTACCATGTGGCTTACCTAGGTAGTTGACCCAGAGCAGGTAGCACTGCTGAAATCACAAGACAATGGTCCCTTGTCCTGGGACACAGCAGCACAGGGCAGAAAGAACTGCTTTATGCAGAAATTCAACAGAAGAAAAAGTATGTCCTAACCTAATTTACTCTTAGGAAGGGCTTAGCGAGAACAGACATTTAGCAGAGGTGTTGACAAGGAAAGGATCCTAGTGACCAAATGTCTCCTCTCCCTCTGCAGACTGACAGAACATCAGGGGTAGTTGGTATAGACAGAAACCTCAGGCCTGTTTCTAAGGCCCCCGAGTGGGTCTGGCTGCCTGATTACTAAGCTGGATTTCCAGGTAGGGAGAAGATGCCTGGGTGAGAGTATGTGACTGGCATGGCTCAGAGCCTGGAGCTCCAGCCTTTTCAACAATAAGCCTTGAAGCTACCATCTTGGCCTCTACAATTCTCCATCTGCAAAATGGGTTTTTGCTATTCAAGGTGTTTATTGAGCACCTACTATGTACCAGACCCAGACTAGGTACTGAAGATACAAAGACGAATGAAGCATGGCCTCTGCCTTGCAAATCTTTACAATCCAATGGGTCTTACCCAGCTCTTTGAGTTAATTGTTCAAGCCCAAGAAGATCCCTGAGAGAAGGACCAGGTACCAGGCATAGTGAGGCAGCTGTTCCATGATCCATGGCAGGGCGAAGTAGTTGAAAGAACCCTGAGCTTTGAGTTAGAAGACCTGAGTTCTAGTTTCAGCTCCACCAGTAATTAACGGTGTGACCTCAGACATGGCAGTTCATTATGTTGAGTCCCCTTCTTCATCTGTAAGTAGGTACCTTATCATGCTTCACCTCCCGGTGTTATCATGAAGATTAAGTGCGCTGGTGTTTGTCAAGATCCTCGTGCTTTGCTGGCACCTAGTACCTTGGTGGGAGCTGGTTCTGAGACATCACTCAGTGTCTCTGCACGCGAGCTGGCCGCTCTCCCAAGTTCCACCTCAGTACACACGAGGAACTGTTGGCCCATTTTCCATGGGAAAAATGTGATTTCTGTGGGGCACTTCCAACACCAAGCTGCATGCTTGCCGTCCTTCCACCAGCTCCTGTCCTACTGCCTGAGTCAGAGCTCAGCATGTGCTCACAGCAGTGTAAAAATGTCATGTTTCATTGCTTCATCCTCATTCCTTCTTTACCTCCAAGGGCCTGGTGACCCCAGGGTACAGGGGTCAAGACACGAGTCAAGGAGGCAGGTATAAAGAAATAATTTCGCTTTTTTATAGCTGGGGTTAGTCACTCATTAAGTTGAGTGGGGCAGAACTAGAATTTCTGGTTCTATATCTCATCCAAAAAAACTGTACTGGAAAGTTCAAGAGTATCTTTGCTGGCTCTTTCTTGAATATTTCCAAAGCCTTATGAAGTTGAGAGTTTTGGGTATGGTGTAAGGAAAAGAAGAGCTGGAAATTGTGGTCAGAGGTCTTGCTCCCCTCTGATCCATTTCTCTCTCTTCCCTCTCTGTCTGTAGTCGACCACAGCATGTTTGAGAACTTGAACGCGGCCCTCACTCCGAAGCTCCAGGCCAGCCGCTCCTTCCCCCACTTGTCCAGGCCTGCGGCCCCCGGGCCTGCCGCCGTGGGCTCCGTGGAGCCTGGTGGCCCCGGACTCTGGGTGGGCAGCAGCCAGCACCTCAAGAACTTGGGCAAAGCCATGGGGGCCAAAGTTAACGACTTCCTGCGGAGAAAGGAGCCCTTGAGCCTAGGCAGCGTGGGTGTGACGGAGATCAACAAGACCGCAGGGGCCCAGCTGGCCAGTGGGGTGGACATGGCCTCAGGGGCCTGGCTGGAGGACGAGAGGTGAGTCCCCCCACCTCCGACATCCCCCCAGCTCTGTGGACCTTCTGGAATAGGTACAGGGACAAACTGCAGTGTCTCCTGGGGACAACAGCCCTGAGGAAGGGATGAGAGATTGTCCTGTGGAGAAGAGCTGAAGGATGGGGCCACGTTTGTGTGCACTGGCTTCACCTCCCACAACCATGGCTGAAGTTTGTTGAGCAGCCACGACATCCTTAGCACAGTGCT